ACACTTTACCACACATAAGTCTACTGTCCAGATGACAGGAAATCATTTCCTGCTGACAACTAGAGACCCAGACTGCCAGTTCCTCCAGTTTTCGATTGGTTCAGTTTGTCAGGTTGGTGATATATCGGCATCTGTCAAGGCACTGCATATCCCCCAAGCGGCCTTATTGGGTGGCAGGATTGATGCTTCACATGCCACCTTTGTGGCAATTCAAGAACTGACGTATGAGTTGGAGGCCACTATTTAGTAGTGGCAACATGTTTCTCAATAGAGTAAGTACTGAGCAGACAAAAGCTTGATATGTAGGTGATGTTCTAACTCAGAGAAAGCTACAAACATGATTGGGCTGTTGAGTGAAAAAATTTGGGTTCATGAAGTTTATATCACATTTTTGGGCAAGATGTCTGGTACTGACCAACAAACTCACAACACAGGGCAGATGTAGGTTGAAGAGGATTATGAAGAAGTTTTATGATCAACACAATTATCTAATGGTGTATTATTCTACCTCCTTGTGTGGAGTAGATATATATGATGCTTAATAGTAGGTCTGTTGGATCCATTGTTGTTTACCTTATTCTCCTCTGGAAACGTAACATTACTTTCTTGAACTGTCCACGATTTTCAATGAAGGTCCCATTGATGGAACAGAAGATGCTTACTCTTCTGGAACACCTGGTCATATCATCCATGTACTTTATTAGTAGTCTCTGTGTAAATCTTTCTTTTGTTCATGTTCTACCTACGGTTGATTATGCTGACACACAGCTATTTTCTTTGATGCTTTTATCAATCTATGCACAAAACAAAACTTGATCTCCTACCCACCAAACCAGTCGAAAAAGCCCCAGTTTAAGTTATTATCAAGTTAGATCACGTCATGAGAGAAGAACAATCACCTACATCTCTAATGGCTGGTGAAAAATCTATTCTAGTTGCATTTTCTTCCATTGTTTATTCACATGACAAAGTCCCATTATTTATCATTCTGTCAGAAGAGACCTTTCGTGACAAAAGAGATACAATCTGGCTAATGAAGGGAGACAATTTTGACCCTAGCTATCCTTGGATATCACTGAGAGTACGCAAACATCCCAAACACAATTTGAAAATAGTTACCATAACAACTACGTGATGGCTATCAGATATTCTTAAATGTGCAAGTAAAACAAGAACCAGTAATCAGAAAAGTTGAATTAAAATGTTTATGACATAAAAAAAAAAAAAATTCAATAAAATTAAGTACAAAGAGTGTTTGAAAGAATTCCTTTCCCCAAGCCTGCTTAATACTAAGTGGTATCATAAAACATACATTACATTCCTACATAATGCTCAATCTTTATACAATATCCCTTAAACGTCTGGTGCTATTTATAGCCACTGTACACATTTTTTGTCTTCCTTCAAGGACTAGAAACCCAACTTCAGATGAAGCCTATGATTGTATGGAACAATTACCGTATTTGATATATAAAACACCTTTCCTCCATTCTGCACAAATTTTAATTATCTCATCTGATTCCTATATTTTGATTGAAAAGTGATAGCAGGATTGTTTTTTCAAAAAACATCATTATCTAAATTATTTAACATGTTATTTTAACTTCCCATATTTCTATAAAAAATTCAGCCTACAAAGATTCTAATTGAGGCAATCAGGCTTCAGTTGCAACAGATCTAGTCTATCAGTTAAATTTCAGTCGATAAACTTTAGATTTCATCAATTTATGTTCAAAGTTCAGCCAATGTAATGTGGATTTCAGACAAAAAAGTGAAGATTTCAGCTAATTAAATTTAAATTCCAGTCAATTGAATTTAGATTTCAGCCAATTGAATTTAGACTTTACGCAACTCAGTTTTGACTACATGGTCAATGCAGCAGAATTGAAATTTCAGTCATAAAAAGTTAGATGTTATACAAGTTAGATTTCTATAAAATTTAGATTTACATCAGTGCAATAAAGTTTCAGATTTTGTGTATATCAGTATTAAACAAAGGTTAGAAAATTTTAGACAAGTTAGTAGGACCCCTCAAGAAGCGTTCTTGTTAGCACAATTACAGCATGTGCTGTGACTGAAAGTGTTTTAAGTAAAACTCAACCATCTGTCATAACCATCTCCCTTTAGTGTAATACATAAATTATGTATTTAATGATTATGTGCTGTAAGCAACTACATCTGTTCTACCTAACCAACCAATCAGCACTTATAAATACCCAATGCACAAACTCTAGAAATAGCTCACGCAAGCTATATATAGTGGTCTGTAGAACCTTAGTATGCGTTAGTGTTATAGAGGCACTAAAAAGTACTTAAAAAACATCCATGTAATGGTTCACAACAAAAACAGAATCAAACATCAAGTTTTCCTCAAATCATATTTTTAAATTCAAACAGAATTTTTTAATTTTCCAATTTTATACGGAATTATGATTTTTATTATGGTAATTAGTATTTTGTCTCATTTTGCATAACTGATACATGTCTACTTCACATGATCTGACAGGAGGAACGGTAGCATAAAAGTTATATGTTTACATTGGAAATTTTAAAAATCTGACACCAAGGAACATACCTTTTGGATTTTCTATTCAGTAATTTCTTCTAGAAAATATGGATTTCACCTGGTAGATTAAGGTTGACATTCTGATGGCGATGTCACATCATTTCACCATACTAAGTTATTGCAGCCCTGCTAGATACCTAAACCTAACAGGAGAACCATTTTTACAAAAATGATGAAGTTTTCAGGAGGAAGGGAGATAAATCAGTTTTCATAACTTGCAATTACTGCAAAAAAAGGACGTGGAACTTTTGACTACTTTTTAGGGAAGCAACACTAGAAATAGTGTTATACATCCTAGCTTTTGATTTGGTATACGAATATGGCATTCAGAAACTTAATAAGAACGAAAAAACTGTTCATATTTTTTATTTTAAACATATATGTAGTTTGTTTATTCAAGAATAACTGTTGTATTCAAGCAATTTCTGGATACCTGATTTTAAAAATTAAATAAATGCAGAAAACTATGTCATATAAAAGGATTTCCAGGAAATAACTGTAGCTTTGAAGCTGGGAAGTGAAACTCATATAAGGGATTTCCTATATCTACCTGTATTTTTGAAGCTGGGAAGTGGGATCCAGAGCTTGGTTTTTTTAATTACAATGACACAGATGACTCATACAAACTATGTAAAGAGGTTATCATCAGGGTTCACATAGAAAAGAGGATACTTTTACTACACAATCCTCTGGTTGTCTCCCCTTGGACTGTGCTGAGAGATTAGCTTAATGATAGTATATAGGTTTATATTTAGTTGACTACAGAGGTGAGGTACCTACCTGATCTGGATTTAGCGGTGGCAGTTTTACCTACTAAGGAAGGAAACACCATTCAACCTCACTAACACAAATTCAGCATTCTGTTTTTAGCCCTATATCCTTCATATCTTAATTCAATTTAAACCAAGTCAGATTAATTTCTCAGCATATCAACAGTCAGGATATCAGTTCTTGTTTGTAAGGCACTCTTTTGTTAACTGTTAAATGTCACCATCATATGCACAATTATCTACAATAACAGTATTTATAAAATATTGAGTAAACCTAAATTTTCACTAATTATAAACATTCTGTACCTTAAGCACAATTTTAACTTTGTACTGTGTTATCCATTACAAAATACACACAATTTTATTTTCACTCTGCTAAGATACAAGCAGCTCTACAAGCAAAGCAAGTAAACTAAGGATCCCTGACTCAATCTACAGCGGACACAGTAAAATCAGTAGAAGCAGGGAACAGAGAAATGGTCAGTAAATATAATAGTTATTGAGAGTAAACACAGCACTCAGATGATGGAGGAAATGTCCTCATATCAGGATCATCTCTTAACAATTTCCAACAAAACAGTATCATGTTTTTAATACAGCAAATGTACCATTTTAGAATAATTCAATTAATTTTGTGTTGAAGTTAATAGGACAAACGCCAAAGTCCCATTCTGGGAAATATTCCATTATCACAAAAATGTTTGTTTTAGATCATTGTGCAGATTACTTAAACCTTACTCACTAAAAATTATTGTATCATAGTTCACACATAACTTTGATTCATAGTCTAGAGGTGGGTGTTTTACAGGAAAATGAAAGAATAATTATAATTACAATGAATAGTGATAGATATGGGTGGGCTTATTACCAGACATGAATTCATTTCTGGATAAATAAGGCAGGTATATTTAGATAAGAATTAGTTCTAATGACGAGGTAAATGATAAAAAGAGAAAAGGGAAAACAGTACCAGTTACACGTCTATAACTTGTGTACCAGTCCAGGACCTGTTTTATATGACAGAATTCCATTCCCAAGGATTCTATGCTAGGCTCACAATCTAATGAGTGAAATTAATGAGAAATTCTTCATCTATATCAAACATTCGTTTGTTCATGCAGATCTAACTTTGACAAATTTAGAGGTTGTATTGGTATAACAACACAAACACAGATGACATGCTTGTCAGAAATCTTATTAGGTATTACAGGTATACAGTGTCAGTGGATATGTTGATAGTGGCTAGGCCTACAAAACCTCAGATGAAGATCCTAGAGGTGTAGTTTGACGCTCCCTAAACATGGCTGTTAGTGTTGATAAGGAAGCTGAGAAACAGACCCGTTGTTGCTATCATGGTTGTGTCACTTGGTAAGACACTTTACCCTAAATAATTTAGATGATATGTGATGGGCCTTTTGCATTGTGCTCAGTAAGGTAGCCACTGGCTACTAAAAGGAGACCCAATCTCAAAATGGATCTGGCCGTTTTGGGACCATTAACCCAGCTAAAAAGAAAAATTTGTGATATCGACATTTTTGGAGTGTAAGAAATTTTTGTCCCTACTTGTAAGTAGGACAGTGTCATTATAACAAGTTTTCACTGTCACCTGACCAGCATGATGATGTTTTGAGGAATTGTCAGAGGTTTGGCATTATAAAACCTACCTGGGGATGTTTTATAGATGTCAGAATATGTAGCTGACAAGAAGACAATATTCATTGTAGTGAACAACATCGAACCTTCACAGGTACTGCAGTTGACAAGACTATTCTTTGTCAAGCTCAATTATTGTTTTTTTGATATTGTGCAATACATAGACTTCTGTCATATACAATGGAATTCATTTTGTACAATAATTACAATTCAGAAAACATAGTACAATTTTTTGTTGTCTTTAGTGGAAAACACAAAATTTTGTAATGAAGAAATTCTTTTAGTGTGTTTTCACTGCCGCCACATCATTACAGCAGGTTTCTTGTTTATTAATGAACAGCTGTCAACCTTGAATGCAAAAAGAAAAGGGCAATGTCTATTTGCCTATTTCTTCTTAACTTTATTAAAGGAGCAACATCGAAAGTCAAAAAACTCTATCACATGTAACTTAAAACGCTCTTTTAGCATCGAATGAGAAACATTATGATTTATTTACTTACCAGGGACTGCAGCAAAGAACTTGACGGCATCTCTGTGGCCATGGAAAGACAACTGGGCCTGGGCCATAGAACAGTAAGGAATGAAGCTGCCAGGTGTCACGTTGTCAGATTTATTGTCACTGTAAACCCGGATTATACCACCGGGACGACCCCCACTGGACGCTGTGGTTACAGTCTGTTTGTTACCTAGCAAGAGGACACAAAACACCAATAAAATCAAACAGAGGTTGATTGTAACATGTAAACCAAAAACAAATGTAAAAATTTTGTAAAAATTACAGAGCAATTTGTACTTTCCAGAAATACTCTAAATCCACATTACAATGCACAAATCTATTTCTGTTTTGAAGATTTCTTATAAATAAAAAGAAAAAAAATTATTCAATTCTCAGAAAATACCAGCTCTTAGTGTGTTTAACTATTGTAGATAAATATTTTCAGCATTTAACATTCATTCTGTTAAATTTGAATCCTCTATTTTCAAATTAATGAAATTATTGATCAAATGAATTTGACTTGTTGAAACATATTCTAATAAATTTGACAGTATTAGAAAGCTTGGAATCAAATTATTTAATTTAAATTTTCCATTTGTTAAATTCTAAGAACATTCATTAAATAAGTATGAAATAATTTCCAGTCAGGGAATGGTATGTAACCTGTCATCACCAGTGTAACCTGTCATCACCAGTGTAACCTGTCATCACCAGTGTAACCTGTCATCACCAGTGCTGACAAGGCCAAATCAATGATCACGGTAAATACTTACTTTCTGACAAAGTAACCTTTCATCACCAGTGTAACCTGTCATCACCAGTGTAACCTGTCATCACCAGTGCTGACAAGGCCAAATCAATGATCACGGTAAATACTTACTTTCTGACAAAGTAACCTTTCATCACCAGTGCTGACAACGCCAAATCAATGATCACGGTAAATACTTACTTTCTGACAAAGTAACCTTTCATCACCAGTGCTGACAATGCCAAATCAATGATCACGGTAAATACTTACTTTCTGACAAAGTAACCTTTCATCACCAGTGCAGACAATGGCAAATCAATGATCACGGTAAATACTTACTTTCTGACAAAGTAACCTTTCATCACCAGTGCTGACAATGCCAAATCAATGATCACGGTAAATACTTACTTTCTGACAAAGTAACCTTTCATCACCAGTGCTGACAATGCCAAATCAATGATCACGGTAAATACTTACTTTCTGACAAAGTAACCTTTCATCACCAGTGCTGACAATGCCAAATCAATGATCACGGTAAATACTTACTTTCTGACAAAGTAACCTTTCATCACCAGTGCTGACAATGCCAAATCAATGATCATGGTAAATACTTACTTTCTGACAAAGGCACAGAGATGACCACACCATTGCCTGTGCCTATCCACAGCCTATTACAGGAGATCAACATCGCTGTGATCCGTACAAAGGAAAAGCCTAGCTTCCCTGTACCTGCAGAGAGAGAGAGGGGTTTTATATTACAGGGAGATAACTCTATTACAAGAGAAGACATGTTAGATCATCCTTAAACATGAAAAAAAAAGATATAAAAATTACCTGGATGTAACACTATTTGACAGCTTTCCAGCAATAACAGAGTATTTTAGAGGAGTTACTTTCTAAAACACTTAAGTTTACTATAAAAACTTGATAGATGCTGAGTCATGAGACAATAAATTCACAATTGGTAAAAAGTCTAATTTCTATTACAGGTTTAGTAGAAACTATGGAGGAGGAGCCAACGTCAGGTGGAAATCGGTGGGTTTTCTTAGGTACACTAGAAATGGCAACAAATCTTAGATCACAGCCCAGTGATAAGTGCAACCCCTGACTTCAAGTTTATATGCAGGACCCTGGGCTTATTGGAGGATATGATATATACTTACCTAACATTTTACTGACGTAGGGCTCAATATCAACATCTTGAAGGTGTACGTGGGTATAGGCGTGGTACAGTCGTAAGGTACTGTCTAGTCTGATGGACACCCACACTCCATCTCCAAGCCATGCCACTTGTCGCACCTGACTTTCCTTCCGTGGATGAGCATCAAACGTTTTCTGAAATAGTACACAAGGAAATAGATATAAATTTCACACAGATTGACATAAATGTAAAAAGAGACCCTTGAGCCTAAATAGTCGCCTATTTTATAAAGCTGTTATTACTGTTGCAATTACATCAGTCACAGGGGTAACAAGAACTCCATTGTACATGTAATGCAGAGTTAACATAAAATATGAACCCATTAACTGCCATTCAATGTTAATAATTCTAACCTAATGTGATTATTCCAATTTGAGGTAAAAAAGAACAAGAGACAAAATTAAAAAAAAATTGTGCTCAAAAATCTTTTTTTTATATCTATAGTAAATTTTATCCCCTCCCCTGGGGGAAATGAGACCCTGGGGTAATGAGACCATACATTTAACAATTCTCGTTTGGCCATGGAAGTTACTGCAAAATGCCACCAAAATTAACCAGGGTTTTTTAAAGGTGAAGTTGAAAATGTCATTTATCTATAGATGCAAAAAGGAAGACAAAAGACAAATTGCAACCACGAAAAGGTCAACTGAGACTGTCACAAGTGACCTAAAACATTAACAGCCCTCACCTATTTACAACAAGCATAATAATTCAGTAATAATCTATCAAATGTTATTGTTTTAAATTCTTTGACCCTATACATCCTACAAGTGTTGTAGTTATCTCCTAAAACATCAGTAAAAGTACCTGAAATGGGTTGAAAGTCCCTAACTCTTTCAGCACATGTGGTCCTGTACGACATACATGAATTTTGGTGTCTTCCACACAGATATGAGACCATTAATAGTTTATCATGTAAAAAGTTTTAACATCCAGGACAATGAAATACCTACCTCAATGTTCATTTTTTCAGGGTCAACAACATGAATTTTGTTCCGGTAGCCACACCAGACATGTTTGTTGGCTATCACAGTCATACAGCGGATTGAGTGATGGGGTCTCCCCAGGTCAAGTAGATGGTAGTTCTGTAGGTCCCACTGTCCCTCTGCAAAGGGAAGCCACTCTCTCTTAATCATTGTATATACTACGGTAACAGTGCTTTAGAAATATAGACATTTTTTCTAACATTAAAAAGCAAAGATTTGCTTTCTCAGGAAACGCATCAAAAGACGTACATAAACAGACAGAAGATAAGTGGCTGATTAGCATTACAATTGAAACAGAATAAAAATGGTCTGATTTTTTGGTCTAATTTTCAGGTCACGTCTACTTTTGTTGTCTATATTTGTTGTCTACTCTTCTTGTCTCTTTGTTTTCATTTGTTCTTTACTTTTGTTTACTTTTCTTGTTTATTCTTGTTTACTTTTCTAGTCCATTTGTTAAATTTTCTGGTCTATTTCTGTTGTTTACTTTTCTTGTCTGTTTGTTAAATTTTCTGGTCTATTTCTGTTGTTTACTTTTCTTGTCCGTTTGTTAAATTTTCTGGTCTATTTCTGTTGTTTACATTTCTTGTCCATTTGTTAAATTTTCTGGTCTACTTCTATTGTTTACTTTTTTTGTCTGTTTGTTAAATTTTCTGGTCTATTTCTGTTGTTTATATTTCTTGTCCACTTTTGTTGTTTAAATTTCCTTGCTTATTTTTCTTTTCTTGTTTGCTTGCAAATACAGCTAATAATATAACTTCTATATAAGATCTATCTCTAGTTCCTGGAGATATCTGTCAGTAGGGTACATATATATAAGTTTGACTGTATTTTTCAGTATAATCGACTAACCTGTGTCTCTATGGAAAATTGCAACAGTGCCATCAGCCAAGGCTGCCAGCACACGCCCCTTCAGATGTCTGGAAACAAAGGTAAAAGATAACAACAACAGACTTTACCGACATCCTGTCATATCTGACCAGATCTGTCAAAACAAAGTATTTCCTACTTATTTATAGTGTTATATCACTGTAACAACTGGACACCGTCATTTCCTGTATCTGAGACAGGTTTTCTTGTTTTGTTGCTTAAATAAACATGTTTTACACCAAGTTTACAATGTTAACTGTGTATTTCATACCATAATTACGAATATAAGATCCGAGATATGATTTTGCAACTGTCAACTTGTTAATCATGATCGCCATGTTGTAAACGATCATGACATCACAATTTAGGAATTTGTTACAATGTATACTTTGCATGGAAACACAAATAAAAAAATTTTAGGGAACAACATTAACATACATGTTTATTGGAACAGCTGTTACAGATAAATGTTTACTTATTGAGATATTCCTACATATGTTATGACACCAGACAATCTTGTGAATTATTTTTTCGTTTGTGATATACTTACACAATGTTGAGAACTGAGTCCCTGAGTTTGACAGAGTGCAGACATCTCCTCCACTGGGCCACAGAGGAATGTACATACAGACTGAAAAATCATATTTCATAAATATAGATATATTGTATAGAAAGTATTACTTGTTTAACACATCTCCAAAGCATTCCATCTTTCTGTATCTGTATCATGTATCTGATAACTTACAACAGACAACTTACAACAACAGACTACACCATCCCTGATAATATAATACATTGTATCTGACAATTTTCTACACCACACTACACCATCCCTGATAATATAATACACCATCCCTGATAATATAATACATTGTATCTGACAACTTTCTACAACAGACTACACCATCCCTGATAATATAATACATTGTATCTGACAACTTTCTACAACACACTACACCATACCTGATAATATCATACATTGTATCTGACAACAGACTACACCATACCTGCCACTTTGTGAGCCTAACCACATGGTGGGTAGAACACTGCTCATCTTTTCTGCCTCCTCATACTGGAGATCACTGTCTAAAGGGAGAGGACTGATGCCGTCCCGGACAAGGTCAGCCTGTTCCTGTAACGCCCGACGGTCCAGAGAGCGGGAGGAGGATGTGGAAGTGGGTGTGGCAGTGCCCGATGATACAGGAGAACCTCGCGCCTTAAATACTGATGGTACATCCTCACTTCCAAATGCAGCTAAAGAAAAATTTCTATGTTTAATTTTACAAAATTTTCCAACAAAATTTTTCATTTTGTTTCACTTAATATCAAATCTCTCACTTAATATCAAATCTCTCACTTAATATCAAATCTCATCTGTCAATAACTAGAATAATGTATTTTACATGCCCTTTCGATTGTAAAACTTGAACATTTAATACTAATAATATTGACTATTTCATAAATTGTCTTAAGGCCAAACAAAAACCAAAAGATAGATCACAGTCAACAGGAATTTAATACTTAGTGACAAAGTGAGCGATATCAGATGGTGTAATCATTGGGTTCCTGGGAGCAGAAAGCAGTGCAGAGTGCATCTGATATACTGAAGGTTCTAACGTAAGTTAGTTCTTAGTTTTGGTAAGTGCAGTGTGGTATAAAGAAACATTTCATGTAAGAAGCAAAGTCAAAAGGCTGATACCAAGTAGGCATGTTAATAATGCTGAGTAACATATCAACTTCTGTAAGGAAGGGAGGTCTTATCCAGTCATTCCTAGGTATAGAAGCAGGAGGTCCTGTCAGGAACAGTTTCACCTTAATACAGATAAGGAGTCTAAATAATCCTTACATTCCTGTAGCAAAATAATCCACCAGTGATGTTTTACAATTAAAGCTGCCAAAGATTTCTTACAAATCTTGCAACAAGAAATTAATGTGACAAGCAACCTAGTGACAGGACATTTGGAGTTTTCTGTCACCTGTAACCGTATAGAAAGGCAGCAATGCCCTTCAGGTCTGTTGAGGAAAAGACATTTTCATTCATTTTCATCCTTTATAAATTGAGTCTAATACATAACAATGATTTTGAAAATTTCTAGTGACTGGAAATTGTTGTAACACTATCTTCTCAGGACTTTTTTAATCCAGAGATCACATACTTAATTGACAGAGAGGTTTCATAGACACACAGACTGCTTTTTCTTATTCTATTCCATCTCAGCCCACTTTTTCTGATTTTATTTCAGCTAAACACAAGATTCGCTTATCAAGCCTTTCATAATTCAACCATTAAAAACCAAGGCAGTTGGCTTGACGATATTGATTTCTTATGTACAGACAAGCAATATCTAGTACTAGACAAACACAACAAGCCCCTATACATCACCGCCCAATCCTCACCTTCGTAGCTACGTTCAGAGACGAGACTTTCTGTGTCGGTCTTGTCCTTGTGTTCCACACTTGTGTCTAGTTTCTCCTCTGTGATTTGTGCAGAAAATGCACAGAGAATAAGGTTAGTGAATACCACAACCATGCCATCATTTCTCAACACCAAAGTGCCTTTAAATAATGATTAACAACAATACCAGGTTTTCGGAAATTTTTTTTGTTTTTTGTTTTGTTTTTATTTCAGGTCTAAATATTTCAAAGAAAAATTTCCACATTAAATAATTCCAATAAGAAAAGAAGACTGAAATAGCAAAAATCGATTCTGAGACAATCAGCTCAGAAACGAATTTCCATTGAGAAATTCAGGCAGAAAAATGTTCTTCTAAATATAGTACAAAAGATCCAGTCTAGCCTATGCTAAGGTTATTTATACTTAAACACTCATTTGCCAGTATAGCTGGATTATACCAGAAAGTCAATGTTGTAATGATCAAATCAATGCATCGCCATTCCTTAGGGACTCTCAGAGGAAAATATAAATTCCTCTCTGTACATTTCTTTTGAAACCATAAACATGAAAATAAGTTAACAAATTTTGCACTCTGTACATTTCTTTTGAAACCATAAACATGAAAATTAATTAACAAATTTTGCACTCTGTACATTTCTTTTGAAACCATAAACATGAAAATTAATTAACAAATTTTGCACTCTGTACATTTCTTTTGAAACCATAAACATGAAAATTAGTTAACAAATTTTGCACTCTGTACATTTCTTTTGAAACCATAAACATGAAAATTAGTTAACAAATTTTGCACTCTGTACATTTCTTTTGAAACCATAAACATGAAAATTAGTTAACAAATTTTGCACTCTGTACATTTCTTTTGAAACCATAAACATGAAAATTAGTTAACAAATTTTGCACTCTGTACATTTCTTTTGAAACCATAAACATGAAAATAAGTTAACAAATTCTGCACTCTGTACATTTTTTTTGAAACCATAAACATGAAAATTAGTTAACAAATTTTGCACTCTGTACATTTCTTTTGAAACCATAAACATGAAAATTAGTTAACAAATTTTGCACTCTGTACATTTCTTTTGAAACCATAAACATGAAAATTAGTTAACAAATTTTGCACTCTGTACATTTCTTTTGAAACCATAAACATGAAAATTAGTTAACAAATTTTGCACTCTGTACATTTCTTTTGAAACCATAAACATGAAAATCGGTTAACAAATTCTGCACTCTGTACATTTTTTTTGAAACCATAAACATGAAAATTAGTTAACAAATTTTGTTATGAACCAAAATCATTCATGGACAAGACTGCAATGCATTAATTTGATTCAATTATTAATAATGAGAGATTAAAAGTTATAATTAAAGATATATGATATATTACTACACAGTAGAGTGACTTACAGATCCTCAGTGTAACAGGGAGAACTCTATTTTATATCATTTAATACATATTGTAGTACTGAAAAGTTGTAACTTTCCAAGAATCAGTGAGGGACAAACAATGTGTTATCTTATTATTTCTAGGTTATGTTTTAAGGGTCAATCATGTTGTCTGTAATGCCCTACACCTTTAATTTTTTGGTCACACACCCAGGGCTGGTTGTGACCTGTTTTAATTTTTTCCTTGCTGTATAATGTAAATATTCTAGCAGTGCCAATTTTGTCCTCTGTCCTCCTAAATATTCACTATTCTTCATTTGACCCACATAAAAGGACATCAATCTATACATCTATCATTTCACCTGATTGTTCATATCTACCATTGTTTGAAGCAGGTTGCTAAAGGTCATGTAGGAGTTTGGCTTGAGCACTCTACATGATATTCAACCTAGAGTCTGGCCATAACCCCACAGCTTGTAAACAATTCATACTCCTGTAATAAGCCCATCCCTCGACTTTGAGTGAGAGGTGTCATGTAACAAGAGATCCCAGAGGGATCTTGGTACCCGCCATTGTTTCATCTTTATTTGCATTTTAACGAGCACAAGAAGAGACCAAAGGGAACATAAGCATGAAATTTGAGGGATATTCATTCAGTACTTCTTAGGAAATAGCAATAACAATCTTTACAAAGCAAAATCAAAGATGGCTGCCAGTCAGCCATTTTGTTTTTCTGATCAGTCCCAAACTCAAACAGGCACTACCAGGGACTTAAAGAAGCGTACACAAGAAATTTGAAAAAGATCTATAGAGTAGTCAAAATCCAAGATGGCCACTTGTGGGCCATTTGGTTTTTTCTGATCAGCATCAAAATCAAACAGGCACAAATAGGAATCAAGGAAAGCATAAAACATGAAATTTAAGAAAGATCTATGGTGTAGTTCTCAAGAAATAGTGACAACAAACTTTCAAAATCTAAGATGTCCATCTATTGGCCATTTTTTAATCTGATCAGTCCTAAAATTACATGGGCACAACTAGAGACCAAGGGGAACCTACATATGAAGTTTGAGAGATCCATCTGTTGACTTTGAGTGAGAGGTAACCTGTAATAAGCCCACTCCCAGACTTTGAGTGAGAGGTAACCAGTAATAAGCCCACCCCCGGACTTTGAGTGAGAGGTAACCTGTAATAAGCCCATCCACAGACTTTGAGTGAGAGGTAACCTGTAATAAGCCCACTCCCAGACTTTGAGTGAGAGGTAACCTGTAATAATACTACCCCCAGACTTTGAGTGAGAGGTAACCTGTAATAAGCCCAACCCCTGACTTTGAGTGAGAGGTAACCTGTAATAAGCCCACCCCCTGACTTTGAGCAAGAGGTAACCTGTAATAATACTACCCCCTGACTTTGAGTGAGAGGTAACCTGTGATAAGTCAACCCCCTGACTTTGAGTGAGAGGTAACCTGTAATAAGCCCACCCCCTGACTTTGAGCAAGAGGTAACCTGTAATAATACTACCCCCTGACTTTGAGTGAGAGGTAACCTGTGATAAGTCAACCCCCTGACTTTGAGTGAGAGGTAACCTGTAATAAGCCCACCCCCAGACTTTGAGTGAGAGGTAACCTGTAATAAGTCAACCCCCTGACTTTGAGTGAGAGGTAACCTGTGATAAGTCAACCCCCTGACTTTGAGTGAGAGATAGCCTGTAATAAGTCAAGCCCCTGACTTTGAGTGAGAGGTAACCTGTAATAAGCCCATCCACAGACTTTGAGTGAGAGGTAACCTGTAATAAGCCCACTCCCAGACTTTGAGTGAGAGGTAACCTGTAATAAGCCCACCCACAGACTTTGAGTGAGAGGTAACCTGTAATAAGCCCACCCCCTGACTTTGAGCAAGAGGTAACCTGTAATAATACTACCCCCTGACTTTGAGTGAGAGGTAACCTGTAATAAGCCCACCCACAGACTTTGAGTGAGAGGTAACCTGTAATAAGCCCACACCCTGACTTTGAGTGAGAGGTAACCTGTGATAAGTCAACCCCCTGACTTTGAGCAAGAGGTAACCTGTAATAAGCCCACCCCCAGACTTTGAGTGAGAGGTAACCTGTAATAAGTCAACCCCCTGACTTTGAGTGAGAGGTAACCTGTGATAAGTCAACCCCCTGACTTTGAGTGAGAGATAGCCTGTAATAAGTCAAGCCCCTGACTTTGAGTGAGAGGTAACCTGTAATAAGCCCACCCCTGACTTTGAGTGAGAGGTAACCTGTAATAGGTCAACCCCCTGACTTTGAGTGAGAGGTAACCTGTAATAAGCCCACCCCCTGACATTGAGTGAGAGGTAACCTGTAATAAGCCCACCCCCTGACTTTGAGTGAGATGTAATCTGTAGTAAGCCCATCCCCTGATGTTGAATGACAGGTAACCTGAAATAAGCCCTTCCGTCACTTTGAGGCAGATTTTCTACGTTGGGACCCTATGATTATCAAAGGATAAATACAGTTCTTTTCATTTAAAACTACAAAAAAAATGCTGCAGATAAAGCTAGCTGGAAATGAGGGAGTAACTAGTTATATGAAAGAAGTACTAGCATGGAAAAATTGACTTATAAACCTCTACTGGACAGGTAATACTTCTACTGTAATGTTACATGTGATATTTTTTCAAATTGCTTGGAATTAGTACATTTCTGCTCAAGCATATCTTGCTGAAAAACTGGCAGCTTAAGGTTTTTAGAATTTATTGATTTATTTTTATCATTTCTATTTATTTCTAACCAGTCTCACAATTTTTTCTATTATTTTGGTTTTACTTTTGTATTTGCTTTTGTGCCCTATAAAGATAAATTCTTAGAAAATTTCAGATTTCTAAAATTAGAATTGCCATATTCTGTATGTTTTCAGTGCTGTTGTGAGATGTGTAGGCAACTAGCCTGATACAGAAGTACAGATAGTGATGTGAGAATGGTGAGGTGATACATACCACTGCTGGACAAGTTGTGACCCCCAGCTGACAAACTATCACCATCTGTAACATAAAAACGCCATTTATCTCCCCTTGATCATAGCACACAGACACCAAACAGAAAAACAGTGATGTCATCAATGACATTGAAAAACACAGAAAACAAACTTAACAGCTAACCTTGATGATAGCAAACAGACAAAATTCATTGTAATGGAATGATAATATATGATAACATTTTAATGCTTGTGATAAAAGATAGTTCAAACATATCAATTCTCTGCTGCAAAACTTTGGTCTCAAGCTATCTTTAAAAAAATTATTTGAAGATAGTTTACCACTAATAGCTACATTAGAAGAGAAAAGATCACTTAGTCGAGCAATGTGTATGTTGTGGGCACCAGCAGTCTAATTTTAGTGATTACAATGGCACATTGGACCACAATGTATGATGTATTATATGTGTTAATGTACCAGATTTGAGTGGGAAGCCTTCAGGTGACCTGTTTGGAGAGCCTGCTACTCTAACTGTTGTATACAGGACTAAGATATGTAACAGATGCATGTGTTACTGTACCAGACTTGTAGGGGAGCCTACAGGTGACTGGCCTGGAAAGCTTTCTGTGATATATCAAAAGGTATGTGTTACTGTACCAGACTTGTAGGGGAGCCTACAGGTGACTGGCCTGGAGAGCTTTCTGTGATATATCAAAAGGTATGTGTTACTGTACCAGACTTGTAGGGGAGCCTACAGGTGACTTGTCTGGAGAGCTTTCTGTGATATATCAAAAGGTATGTGTTACTGTACCAGACTTGTAGGGGAGCCTACAGGTGACTTGTCTGGAGAGCTTTCTGTGATATGTCAAAAGGTATGTGTTACTTTACCCAGACTTGTAGGGGAGCCTACAGGTGACTCGTCTGGAGAGCTTTCTGTGATATATCAAAAGGTATGTGTTACTTTACCCAGACTTGTAGGGGAGCCTACAGGTGACTTGTCTGGAGAGCTTTCTGTGATATATCAAAAGGTATGTGTTACTGTACCAGACTTGTAGGGGAGCCTACAGGTGATTTGTCTGGAGAGCTTTCTGTGATATATCAAAAGGTATGTGTTACTGTACCAGACTGGTAGGGGAGCCTACAGGTGACATGTCTGGAGAGCTTGCTGTTCCCCTGTGGTATACTGGACTTAATTGTGTGATATATTAAAAGGTATGTGTTACTTTACCAGACTTGTGAGGGGATCCCACAGGCGACGTGTTTGGAGAGCCTGCTGCCCCACCTGTGGCACACTGGACCAAGGTGATGCCTCCAATGCCACTGTCAGTCACAGACGTAGCAAGATTGTCCGGCTCAGGTGGAGGTTTGTACTGGGGATAGGACTCAGCCTTCAGGATTTCTTCATCCACCCTGTAGTCTGACTCAAGGGCACCTATAAAATATGCAAATGGTAGCTGGGATAGGTCAAAGTTCAAACAAAATCCAGAGCTACTGCTAAATCAAGTTAAAGGTCAAAGTGACCTTTTGGCCAATGTCAGCTATCAAAGGGAAAAATTTCCTTATTATCTCAATAAAAATTAGTCACACATTTGATCACTGCAATACTACTAGACCTTAATATCACTGGACTTTTCCTGATAGTGTTTTTATAATATGTCACATAAGTAATCTTAAAAGCTAAGATAAAAGTTTCACAACACATTACCAAGAGTTTCTCTTTCTCTCCATCCATCAATAGCAAAATATTCACTGAATAAACATGGTGTACCTAGGAATTTCAGATTTTAAGAAGATTTTGAAGTTGTTTTACCACAATGTTTACATTTTAATGTCTCTTGAGTGTTCTTACCAGCAACACTAGCTATACACAGGATTGGCGATGTTGACACTCGGAATGTCTCCAGAATATCGCCTGGATTGTTAGCATCAATAACTGACACCCGACTACAGGTAGAGGTCTGGGTACATATCCATACAAAGGAAGATAACTGCTCCTTCTCGGTATCCTTCAGGTTCTTCTCATGTTCCTAGACAGAGTTAACAAATAAAGACGGTTAATCAATGTCCCTGTGTACTAACACTGTGTAAAATGCTATTTCAGTGAAGACCTACATCTATGGGATTATCCTGGGCTGCGATTTTTTTCAGTTATTTTAAAAATCTGATGCAAACAAGAAGCCATTTTTCCTCAGAAGACATGGCGACACAGAGAACAACAGGACTAAGGACAGCATCTTCTACAGGATTCAGGAAAGATTTGAAGTAACTGATAATCCCACTACATGTATAGTAGTTTACGATGTTTAACAGGTAGATGATTTAATACTTCTACCCATTTCAAAATTCCTACAGGAGTTTCTCTCTTGTATCATACACATTTATTGGATGGTGCTACTGCAATATATAAAATAGTATGATAGTGGATCACTTGTACTAATTCAAAGCACCTTACCTTGAATTCCTGGTTTTTAGGGTGATATGGAACACTCTCCTTGATGTTTTGGGAGACACCTTACCTCGAATTCCAGGTTTTTATGTTGATATGGAACACTCTCCTTGATGTTTTGGGAAACACCTTACCTCGAATTCCAGGTTTTTAGGTTGATATGGAACACTCTCCTTGATGTTTTGGGAAACACCTTACCTTGAATTCCAGGTTTTTAGGGTGATATGGAACACTCTCCTTGATGTTTTGGGAAACACCTTACCTTGAATTCCAGGTTTTTAGGGTGATATGGAACACTCTCCTTGATGTTTTGGGAGACACCTTACCTCGAATTCCAGGTTTTTAGGTTGATATGGAACACTCTCCTTGATGTTTTGGGAAACACCTTAACTTGAATTCCAGGTTTTTAGGGTGATATGGAACACTCTCCTTGATGTTTTGGGAAACACCTTACCTTGAATTCCAGGTTTTTAGGGTGATATGGAACACTCTCCTTGATGTTTTGGGAGACACCTTACCTCGAATTCCAGGTTTTTAGGGTGATATGGAACACTCTCCTTGATGTTTTGGGAAACACCTTACCTTGAATTCCAGGTTTTTATGTTGATATGGAACACTCTCCTTGATGTTTTGGGAAACACCTTACCTTGAATTCCAAGTTTTTAGGGTGATATGGAACACTCTCCTTGATGTTTTGGGAAACACCTTACCTTGAATTCCTGGTTTTTAGGGTGATATGGAACACTCTCCTTGATGTTTTGGGAAACACCTTACCTTGAATTCCAGGTTTTTATGTTGATATGGAACACTCTCCTTGATGTTTTGGGAAACACCTTACCTTGAATTCCAGGTTTTTAGGGTGATATGGAACACTCTCCTTGATGTTTTGGGAAACACCTTACCTTGAATTCCAGGTTTTTATGTTGATATGGAACACTCTCCTTGATGTTTTGGGAAACACCTTACCTTGAATTCCAGGTTTTTATGTTGATATGGAACACTCTCCTTGATGTTTTGGGAAACACCTTACCTTGAATTCCTGGTTTTTAGGGTGATATGGAACACTCTCCTTGATGTTTTGGGAAACACCTTACCTTGAATTCCAGGTTTTTAGGGAGATATGGAACACTCTCCTTGATGTTTTGGGAGACACCTTACCTTGAATTCCTGGTTTTTAGGGTGATATGGAACACTCTCCTTGATGTTTTGGGAAACACCTTACCTTGAATTCCAGGTTTTTAGGGTGATATGGAACACTCTCCTTGATGTTTTGGGAAACACCTTACCTTGAATTCCTGGTTTTTAGGGTGATATGGAACACTCTCCTTAATGTTTTGGGAAACACCTTACCTCGAATTCCTGGTGTTTAGGTTGACATGGAACACTCCCCTAAGTGAGAAAGGAAATTGCCTACCTTGAGCTCCTGGTTTAGGCGCTCCACTTCATCCTTACTGCTGTCTTTTTTGGAACTCTTCTCTGCCTCAATCATGTTGGCTCCGCTCAGGTTGGAATAGAACACACTAGCCCCTACAACAGAGCCGCCATCTCTTGTCTGACCTCCTGTCAGGTTTACTCCTACAGCACACCAGATCTGTACAGCAAAGTTTAGTGGTCAATACCAACACTTTTCAGTGGGAAGGGGTATCGGACATCAGATAACAGAGATAAAGGTCAGAGGTCATCGCAACATACTTCAGATGAAAGCATTCAGAGGTGTGAGACAGCAGATAGCATTGGTAAATTCCATCCATAACACATTTTCGAGGTAAAGGTAAATGTAAAGGTTGAAAGGGCAAGGGGCAGAGGTCAGGAACCACATAATGGCAAGGTAAGTTGCCTGTGTCTGTATGAATTAATATTGATGTTATATATCATTGTAATAACTGTTTATGAAGGCCCAGTTTTATCAACAATTACTGTCAAACCAGGATGTAATGTTGAACTTTTTTCAAAAACTTATTTTTGTAGTTTTATCAAAATCTAAAAGAATGTTCTATTTAAATGGTAGACATGAAAAGGATCATGTATCATTTTATTGATTATTTTTTTATCCATCTTTCAAACCGTTGAAAAATAAAATCCTGATAAAACAGCAATCATAAAAGTAAATTTCAGCACTACACAGAGCTTCTATTTACACAGCGGTCTTCAGTACACAGGTGAGAGCGGAGGGACATGATTTTTACCTTAAGACCAGATTCCTTGTCAAACAGCGGTCTACAGTACACCGGCACAGGAACAGGGACGTGACTTTTTGAAGGTGTCTCCCTGTTAGGAAGTGAAGGCTGAAATTTAGCAGGCAAGCTCCACCCGTAGGCCTGAAGTCGTCCATCATCTTTCTTCACGTGAGCCCGTACCTGTTTGTATTGTTCACGACGCTCCTTTTCTCGTTCCTTCTTGGCTTTCTCTGACATTCTATACCAAGACAATATTAGTATATACAAACATGATATTGTAATGAATATATCTAAGCAAATCACTATCTTCATATGATCATTGTATTTAGTTAATATTTCTCAACTTTGGCCCCATCTCTTGGCGTCAACTGAAGAATATTGATCTTTTATACAAAATTCAATTTTTTTTATCCCCACGCCACTTCATTGGAAACTATGTTAACAACAGGGGCAGAATTTTAAATAACCAGATTGGTTCAAAGGTCCACTGAACCAAGAACTGATCCCAAGGCCCAAGGAACCAAATATTTTTTCAAAAATAAACGGAACCAATAATTGGTCCCAAGGTCACGATGCCAAGGACTGATCCCACAGTCATGGAACCAAATATTGTTTCAAAAATAAACGGAACCAATAATTGGTCCCAAGGTCACGATGCCAAGGACTGATTCCAAGGTCATGGAACCAATTATTGTTTCAAAAGTAAACGGAACCAAGGAGTATTTCTAAGGTTCACAGAATCATGGATCGATCCCCAGGTCATGGTACCAAAGATTTATCCAAAGGTCAGTGGAGCCAAGGATGCCTCAAAGTGGCTGAGATCTATATTTAAATATTTATAGTTGTGTTTAACAAGACATTCTTGGTTATGACACAGGCACAAAACCCTGTAAGTTGAGGCCAGGCCTTGGGTCAAATTCTCCACATAATTTTGTTCATAATTTCATGTCTAGAAACAGGTTATGAGTTCATAATTCAGAAGATTTGGATATCAAACATTCTTAAATGTAAATATTCATCTGAATACAGTAAAGGGGTGGAGACCTCATTTTACCATAACCCAGCAATTGAGTTCCTGAGGTTAACATCTAATTAGTTAGGGCTCTATAGAAAGTTAATAAACTACAAGGCAGTTTGGCCCCTACTGTTCAAAACATGGTTAAAGTTGACTGGTGGTTAGTGAAAAATTTCTATCGTTGCCTCTGATGAAACAAAGAATTTCACAGTGAAAATAACATCTAACATATCAATCTGATCTCTCGCCACAAATCTACGAATTCATAAAAATGTTCCTAATTTTGTGTAATTCATATTTGAAATTTTTCACTAACTTTTGGTTAACTCTAACAAAGCATTGAGCAGCTGGGGCCTGGAGTATAGAGTAACAATGTTTTGACACTGTAAAGCAGCAAGACTTCAATCCGAATTATGAAACATTCTTTGACGAGGCACAAATACATGGCCAATGATTCTACCTATGTAGCACTAATATATATACAATTTACTTGACTTTTAACTAAATCACTGAACTGAAGACTTTGCTAATCAGGAGGGGAACATCATTAATGAACTTGTTTCTATTTAACCTAGAAGGCTCAAAAGGGGTAAAGATGCACTCTTTACACAAAAGTTCTTTCACCCAAGGATGCTTCAGATAAAATTTGGGCAAAAGTGAATTATTCCAGTAGAAGAAGGATTTAAAAGTATTTGCTCTAATTTATTGGATCCCATCCCTTACTCAAAAAAGACCAAATTGGGACAGACTGCAATCATTCATGCAGGAGGACAATGATTTTAAAGAATTTCTTCTTTGTCCTCTATTGGGCCCCACCCCTCCTACCACAGAGGATCGAGACCCATCGGCGGCAACAGTTTATACCATATGCTCTGCCTTCATCTAGCAAAGGCATAAAAACTGACCCTGAGTATCCAACCTAAACACATCTACAGATTTAATATTTCACCATAAACAGAGGTTTCAGTTTCATTTTAGATTCATGAAATAAGTCTTCAGAATTCTTTATATACAAAGATTCTGATGAGCTAAAATCTCAAATTTCTGATGCTTTATGAATATTATCTGGAATGGAAACAAAGGTAAGATTCTTTTTATATCATAACTTAGATACCTTGCAAACACCTGTGAAAACAACATTCTATTAGGCTAATGTAATATCTAAACGGGCAACGTTCTCAATCTGTATCTCTGGTGACATGACAAGGATACAAATGTAATGATACTGCTGATACAATGAGCTTAACACAATAGGTTAACTTATAATATGGTAACAAATGGTACTGGGTGTAGTTACAGTTATTACAGGGTAGTTAAACGATAAAGACTTTCCAAATAATTAACAATTAACAGACTTTCACTTGAAAATAATTCTAAAACATGCTGAATCATTTATCAAACAGAAAATGAAATGTAAATAAACAACAAAATCATATATAGAAATTAACACACTCGATATCCCACAGCCCATTACCCGAGAGTGAGGCGACCTACTTTGGCTGAGTCAAGACAGGTTCCTCTAGTATATCCTCAATCTTACTGGACCTGACAATGGACGATGACATCTCCACATCAACAAAACATGTGTAACACAACAAAAAATAAAATCATAAAGAACAGTGCATAGTGAACATGCATTACTGGGAAGTGTAGACAGATAGATTATATGTATGACTTTACAAAAGTCAAAATGGTAATTGAATTTTATGTTTTTTTTTCTACAATATGATTTTCTGCAGCATTATATCCATATTCCCATAATATAAACAATACAAACAGTAAAGAATATTAAGTAATATCAACATAGATATAGTGTAAAAAAATGTTAAATGAAATCATGACAATAACAGAAATGTGACATTAACAGGAATGAAGTATTAAGATCTTCGTGGACATAGAGGGTTTGTTTTTTGTTTTACATCCTCAGAACATTTAAAGACAAGAGGCCAATAGGGCATGTATTGCTCACCTGGCTTTTGCTTGGCTGAAATTGCTTCATTAAAACTAGAGGAAAAGAATTCTAAACATCTAAACAGACAACTCACAACATATCCATTTTTCTATTGGACCCCCAACCCTTTGTCCCTCTGGGGTCAGCCACACCATTCATACTTCAGACCAAATCAATCTAACAGGAAAGGTAGGATTTTGAAAATTTGCTTTATTTTCTATATTAAGCCCCACCTCAGGGTGACGAGACTCGAAGTTTGTACAAAATTGATTCACTAAAAGTAAGAATGCTTCAGACAAAATTTGGGCAAAATCCAATTACTCCTTCAGAAGAAGTAGGATTTTTCACAATTTCAGTTGTGTTTAACTTAGAATGCTTCAGACCAAATTTGGTCAAAATCTGCTCAGTTTTTCATCATGACTAGTAGCAATTTTTATTCAAAAGTTGAGGAACGGAAGCTGCATGCCAGACAACAGACCGTCAATGGTCACCAGTCCTTGGGACAATGTGAGCTAAAAATCTGAAAGATTTCCAGTTGGTTTCTTGTAGGAGATTAATTGACAAAGAAGACAATCTAAACTTCCCAGTGAAACAAAAACTGTGAAACTTTGTGCAAGTGACAACATCATAAATGTAAAAAGATTAAATCAACATAAAGCAAAATAAATGAAAAATCTTGTAAAATAAGCTACGATATCATTCATTCTCTTATCAAAAGTACTATTTAATTGAAAATCTTCTCTCTGAAGTCATTAATAATATGTGACATGTCCATAGTAAGCGACAGTAGCTGTAAAATAACATTATCTTTTACAGAAGTAAGTTACTCTCAAGGTTATTGTAAAGACCAGGATATCCTGAAGCAGATGTAGCTATTTTCATACAAGCATAGATTAACCTATCTTTGAAACTATCAAAACCAGACATTTGTGTCTCTCCAAATACAGAAAGCATAAAGAATTTTCTGTGTGACAAATCAGACAGAAATTTGAATGATTTCCTTTTCATCCACAGAAAATATCAAAAAAATTTTATAGTTAAAAGTGTATAACTAGTCTTATTCAAGACAAACAATATACAAATTGTGTTTAGCATGCAGTAATTTAAGGTGCATTTCTGTAATTTACAATGTATAAGAAAAAAAATTGGAGGCTGAATCCTATAGCAGCAGATGTTGACTTTGTTGAGCTCTGTTCTCTCTGAATATTGTCAATCTTGATTAATGAGTAGGCGACAAAGTGAAGGTGCAATTTCCAGATACCAGCAAAATGTGAAAACAAATACAATATTGATGTTGTTGTCGTTGACAGCAAAATGCATACCCGTGTTCATCAACACCTTGACTGCTCGTTGCGTTCCTGTGTAAGACAGATAGGCATACATGCATATCACAAACACAGAGAGCATGAGGTCAAGGTCACTGTATCTGCCATGCGGAAAAAAACGACCATGACTTTTTAAGAATCAATACTTAAAAGGTGTGATTTCACTTTAACTGTCAATGAAATAAAATTAGTATCTAGTATTTATTATTGTCTTGGGAAATGTTGTATGAAATCGTCACAACAGAAATACTACCACTTCGAAGAATAAACACAAATATATCTATTGTTTCAGCAGACATCTAAACTTCTGTTCATGATGACATTTTATAGCTTCATTACAAAATGAATTCCCATCCTGTTTAAAATATTTATCTTCTATGCACAATGTACTTATTCCAACATATGAAAATTTACGCAACAATTCTTGTTGCAGTGACATGGGACTATTACTGTATTTTGAAGCAGAAAGCAAATTTCCCCCTGTATTCTGATTTTTAGGTTTTCCTTAATGATATAGATAGATCTAATGAAATCTGAAGTAAATAAATACCAAATGAAAAAAAAAATTAAAAATAATGAAAATGTCATGCATACATAATTTTCAAACTAATTGAAACTGGAGATGCTGACAGGCAAGTCTAAGTTAGAGAGCATGCTGCATCAACACCACAAAGGACAAACACAAGACTGGAGATTAAAATTCTTAAAAGGTGTAGGGTATTGATATAAATATATTAAGTGATAGCAAAAACACAGGGAAATGTCACTCACGACTAGCCTTATATACAGAATTTTACATTTCATCTGGAGGTCCTGTGATTTAATAATCATCTTATACACTGTAAACCTTGATGCAGATATGGTTCACACTGTCCATTTGTGTGATGAAGGTGACAGTGTAGTCACAAAAAAGTTACAATTTTCTAACTGATTGTGATGCAGGAACAACTCTTCTATATGTCACTGTAGTTAAAGTGACCTTTCTCAACACCCCTCCCCCGCCCTCCCATGTCCCTGATAAAGTATGATCTTTTCTGTAAAGGGGCAGACAACTTTACAGCTTAAGTAATTTTTTTATTCCCCTGTCCCAGAAAAAGTATGATCTTTAATGTAAAGGGGCAGATATCTTTACTCTAAAGCGACATTTCTCATTCCCCTGTCCAAGAAAAAGTATGATCTTTCATGTAAAGGGGCAGACAACTCTATCCTTAAAGTGACTTTTTTATTTCCCTGTACCAGAAAAAGTTATATAGGAGCAGACAACTCTATCCATAAATGACAAAGTTGGATCTTTTATGAAAAGGGGCAGACAACTCTTTAGTAACGTTTTTTTCATCTTTTAATCCCTAACAGAAAATCAATAAGCCTTGACAGACAACATGTCGACTATTGAATTAGACACCTAATCTCTCAAGGGGCAAACAACTCTATAGTTAAACTGACTTTTTCATCTTTCCTATTCTACATAGAATCTTTTCTCTAAAAAAACAGACAATATATCAAATATCCCTTTAAATTGCGATGTTTATTCCCTAAATGAGTACACAACTCTGTACTTACAAATCATCCTGGAGGAAGTCATAGGCCTTGGCCTTTTCACCGAGATTCAGCTTGCTCCGAGTCCTCTTGTTTGGATCCCCTACAGGCTGGACTTGTGTGGTTGGGGCATTGTATTTGATGGTAGCCATAGGCAGTGGCCTTTTAGTTGGTTTATTTGGGGAACTGAACAAATTACTGAAACTGTAAAACAGAAACAATAAGAGTGTTAGACTCAAAAGAACCATGACTCTATGATCTTTGTGATTTCATCAAAGTTCTAAGATAAGTTACTGTAAGTGACTTATTTCAGTTTATCACATTTCTTTAATATAAACTTTGTTGACAGATCGATGTTTAATTAATTCAAATTCAAAACTTCAAATACTGATAACGAATACAATCAGTGCAAAATGAAAGAAAGTAAATTGACAGGCGATAACATCCAAGATTATTTCTAGACATGTTACAATATTAAGTCAAATGCCTTGAAATTAGAGGTCTTTATAGACAGGTATTTGTTATGTAAATATTACTTTTATTGACAGATATTTTTTGAGACCAGCTTTGCTGGTATTTTCACAATAACCACATCAATTTTTAAATTATCATTATTAATAATCACGTCAAGAGTAAAAATTATCCAAGCATTCAAGTTATTTTGAAACGAAGATGACCAATCTATAAAATATGTGTGTTCATGTATGCATGTATGAGATTTGAAACCTGAAACTAAATCCTTTCCTTGACCAGCTGAAAGAATCTACCTATACTATATTATGTTAACTAATACTAAGACAGATACAAAAGTGCTGCTGTAAATATTGTAGATAGATGTATATAAATGTTATATATGTCAGATCATTATACACAATGATTACATCTACATGCAATTTAATATTAATGTTACATTCTTATCAAAATCATATACCAATTCAATACCATGACACTATACATATATATAACTGCCATGTTAAATCAACCTGTCACTCTGTGTAAACACACACTGTATACTGGTACCTGTGTTAAATGACTCCCTACACCAACTACAACAGAACACACCACGGCATACACAAGTCAGGGAAGTACGAGGACTGATATTAGCCACAGAAAAATAAGACTGTCTCCACATTTAAAAAAAGGGCTGTTAGTGTCCAATTCCCTCCCAATCACCATTTACTTTTTAAAATTTTATTTCACGTCTAGCTCTGCTCAAAACAACAGACCTTGAATTGTTTGAGTAGAAAATTTGTATCTGTAAATTTGTATGTGTGTTACTGTATGAAATGGTTTATTTGGAATTTAATACAATGGTATCAATCTGATATATATTTCCTTACTTTGTCATTTCATTAATCAACATTGTCAACATAACAAGAGGCCCATAGGGCCTATATCGCTCACCTGGTTAAATTAAAGGAAAAGAATTTAAAACACTTGTACCTTGTTCCTCTATTTGGCCCCACCCCTCCTGCCAAAGCAGGTTGTATGCAATGTTTGTACAAAAATAATTTGTCTAGACAAAGAATGCTTAAGATCAAATCTGGGCAAATTTGAATCATTACCACTGAAGTAGGATTTTAAAGACTTTGCTCTATTTCTACAATCATGCCCTGCCCCTCATTTTTCAGATGGCAAACACCTTCTAATCAAACACAATAGAACCTCTTCACTCAAGCATGTCTGATACCAAACGGGGCAGAATTCAGGCATTCCTCCATAAGACGAATGATTGTAAGAAATTTGGGCCCCAACCCTCCCATGCTATGTTCATTCATTTATACAAATTATATATTCTTCCCGTAAGGATGCTTCAGACCAATGTGGGCAAAATCCAATCATTCCTACTGGAGGTGTAGAATTTTAAATAATTTGCTCTATTTCCCCTATTGGGCATCACTCCTCTGTTCCAGAGGCAGAGACCTTCTGTTTATAAAAAATGATTCCCATTCAATTGAGAATGCTTCAAATAAATTTTGGGCAAATTTCAAAGAATTTGCTCAATTTCCCCTACTGGGCCCTGCCACCACTGTCCAAGGGGGCTGTGATCCATCCTTTAAATGAAAATGATTTTCCTTCATCATAGCCTGCATTAGACCGAAGTTCAAGATAAATCTTAAAGAAATTGGGCCCCAGTCCTAAATCCTGAGGGGGCCCCGACCTATGCTTTATACAAAATTAAAGGATGTTTTAGACAATATCAGGTGGAAATCTGCTCAGGCCCCATGTTTATCACAAGTAGTGATTCACTGGAAAAGTTTAGACGACGCAATGGTGCTTAGCCATTCAAGCTAGGCGAGTTAAAAATCTTGTCCAGTGATCATCAAAATATTAGAAAAAACAAAACTCGACATTAACAGATGGCAAATATGAACAAAATTCATTTTACAGTTCAGATGATATCTTCTATATCAGGACTTTTTTAAATTCATATACCATCATGTTGGCTCTTTGACTGAAATGGGACAAAATTGTAGAGTTAGGAATCAGTGTCATAATCTAAATCATAGTCACAAACTTAGAATATCTATTTTGAACTTACCCTCTTCGTATTAGTCTGAAGAGTGTGGTCACATGGTATATCAGCCAGCCAATGAAAAGGCCTGTTACATCAAGCCATCTGCTAGTCGTAATTAACCTATTCCTCAGTAAAACAGTCACATTTGTATTTACTTGTAAAATAGTTCTTTTTTCCCATTTATTTTCCATTCAAAAATTTTAGTAATTAACGTTTATTGTGAAATCAGTTGTTGAATATTCAACATCTTAAACAAAAAAAATAACAATACAGAAATTGAAATGAAGATGAGAATTATGTTACAAGAGTTTGTAATTGGAAAGGAACTTGAGAGCAGATGTTGAAGTAAGAGACTTGAAGTAGCTTGCTTGACATACCATGCTGACACAGCTCATTCCTTCAAAGCCATTGAACAGAGTTGGACAGTCCAAGACGCTAAAACATTTTATTATAGATTGTATTGAAATATTTTATGTGCCCTATTTATTTATTCATTTTGTAATTTTGAAAAGTTTTTCAGTTTTAAACTGAAGTGTGAATTCAATGTAGGATGAAAATAATGTCATCTTAAGGTCATTTTGTATTACAATAAGTCACCCAAGTGTACAGATATATTTTGTCTTTAAATGCAGTACAACACCTATTCCTGTGGAAAACATCATAGTATAAATTATGTTACTATACAAATCTACTGGGAATAAATCTACCTGGTATACATAAGGAACATGGAATGAAAAGTACCCAAGAATTTAATTTTTGAAGCAGGTAGTTTGCAACTATGGAAACTTGTATAAAAAGGTGAATTTCAGCATCGGGATATTGTATCAGAAAGGTGAATTTCAGCGTTGGAATATTGTATCAGAACGGTGAATTTCAGCGTCGGGATATTGTATCAGGAAGGTGAATTTCAGGGTCAGGATATTGTATCAGAAAGGTGAATTTCAGCGTTGGAATATTGTATCAGAAAGGTGAATTTCAGCGTTGGAATATTGTATCAGAAAGGTGAATTTCAGCGTTGGAATATTGTATCAGAAAGGTGAATTTCAGCGTTGGAATATTGTATCAGAAAGGTGAATTTCAGCGTTGGAATATTGTATCAGAAAGGTGAATTTCAGCGTTGGAATATTGTATCAGAAAGGTGAATTTCAGCGTTGGAATATTGTATCAGGAAGGTGAATTTCAGCGTTGGAATATTGTATCAGAAAGGTGAATTTCAGCGTTGGAATATTGTATCAGAACGGTGAATTTCAGCGTTGGAATATTGTATCAGAACGGTGAATTTCAGCGTCAGGATATTGTATCAGAAAGGTGAATTTCAGCGTTGGAATATTGTATCAGAAAGGTGAATTTCAGCGTCGGGATATTGTATCAGGAAGGTGAATTTCAGTATCGGAATATTGTATCAGGAAGGTGAATTTCAGCGTCGGGATATTGTATCAGAAAGGTGAATTTCAGGGTCAGGATATTGTATCAGGAAGGTGAATTTCAGCGTCGAGATATTGTATCAGAAAGGTGAATTTCAGTGTCGGGATATTGTATCAGAAAGGTGAATTTCAGGGTCAGGATATTGTATCAGAAAGGTGAATTTCAGTGTCGGGATATTGCATCAGAAAGGTGAATTTCAGGGTCAGGATATTGTATCAGAAAGGTGAATTTCAGCGTCGAGATATTGTATCAGAAAGGTGAATTTCAGTGTCGGGATATTGTATCAGAAAGGTGAATTTCAGGGTCAGGATATTGTATCAGAAAGGTGAATTTCAGTGTCGGGATATTGTATCAGAAAGGTGAATTTCAGGGTCAGGATATTGTATCAGAAAGGTGAATTTCAGCGTTGGGATATTGTATCAGAAAGGTGAATTTCAGGGTCAGGATATTGTATCAGAAAGGTGAATTTCAGGGTCAGGATATTGTATCAGAAAGGTGAATTTCAGCGTCGGGATATTGTATCAGGAAGGTGAATTTCAGCGTTGGGATATTGTATCAGGAAGGTGAATTTCAGGGTCAGGATATTGTATCAGAAAGGTGAATTTCAGCATCGGGATATTGTATCAGAAAGGTGAATTTCAGCGTTGGGATATTGTATCAGGAAGGTGAATTTCAGGGTCAGGATATTGTATCAGGAAGGTGAATTTCAGGGTCAGGATATTGTATCAGAAAGGTGAATTTCAGCACCAGGATATTGTATCAGAAAGGTGAATTTCAGCGTTGGGATATTGTATCAGGAAGGTGAATTTCAGGGTCAGGATATTGTATCAGAAAGGTGAATTTCAGCACCAGGATATTGTATCAGAAAGGTGAATTTCAGTGTCGGGATATTGTATCAGAAAGGTGAATTTCAGCATCGGGATATTGTATCAGAAAGGTGAATTTCAGTGTCGGGATATTGTATCAGAAAGGTGAATTTCAGTGTCGGGATATTGTATCAGGAAGGTGAATTTCAGTATCGGAATATTGTATCAGGAAGGTGAATTTCAGCGTCGGGATATTGTATCAGAAAGGTGAATTTCAGCATCGGGATATTGTATCAGGAAGGTGAATTTCAGGGTCAGGATATTGTATCAGAAAGGTGAATTTCAGCACCAGGATATTGTATCAGAAAGGTGAATTTCAGTGTCGGGATATTGTATCAGAAAGGTGAATTTCAGCATCGGGATATTGTATCAGAAAGGTGAATTTCAGTGTCGGG